CAGGGTCCATCAGGCGCCTGGGATGGAACCACCTGGTTGGTTCCGTCTCCCTGCGATGAGGAGAAGCGGTTTGAAAGTCTAGCTGAAGGAGCGAATGATCTGTTCATGACAAGGGCTTAATAACTAGGTCCCCTATTGTAAGATCATTCAACCACTGACCAGGGATAAAAATCAAGTCCAGCGTGTGTCCCCTGATGTGGGTGGGGTCATGAACTAACTGGGTCAGGTCCATGGCCATCATGGAAGCCATGAACTCCCGAGCTGCTTCTGACGTTTCACCGACGGATGGCAGGTTGAAATCCCCCATGACCAGAAGCCTGGGGATATCCACCGCTACCCCGGCTATTACGTCGAGCAGCTCAGGCAGGGCTGCTGTCACGTGGCAGGAAGCCAGGTACGCAGTCAACAAACCCATCTGCACCCCATGACCCCACTTCACAAGGAGGGATTCACAGCCGGCTATCTGAGGAACAGTGGCCTCCCTCAGACTAAGACTTTCTTTAATAATCACCGCTACCCCCCTGCCCCTCCCCTGGGCCCTCGGCTGATGAAATGCACGGAAGCCTGGTGGGCACATCTCCACGAGGGGAACCCCCCCTTGTGGCAACCAGGTCTCTGTAATCCCTGCCAGGCCCGCACCCCCCTACTGAACTAAATCATGAAGGAGGGGGGCTTTATTAGTCGCAGACCTGACATTACACAACAGCAGCCGAAGGTTCGGGCCCTGAGACTCTGCACAACCTGGAATACAAGAGGCGTGCCACTGCTCGTAAGCAGCAACTGAGTACTCCCCGAACATGATATGGCCCGCTGCGCCTGCCATATCTGCCCCTCCCACCCACTATTTTGATGGAATAGCCCTTCACCTCGACCCCCGGTTCCCTATCTAAACCCCCTCCCTCTCTCCTCCCGCCTTGACCCTCAGACCCACTCAGCTGCTCTGAGGTTCTGTGGACCCCCCCCCCAGGTCCTTCCCACCCCTTCCCAAAACCCCTTAAAAACTTTACAGAAGCTTTCGTTAAAAAATCCCTCACTCTCTTTTTTGCTGCATGCCACCTCTCGGGGTTCCAAGACCCGTCATCACGGTAGGCCCTCGATAGGGTAGAGGGCCAAACCTGCGAGAGGGGGGAGTCTTGCAGCCCAAGGAGCTCAGCTGTTGAATACATCTCATATCAGGAGTAAATTGTGGCTTATAGCCAGGGGGTCGACTATGATGATTTAGAAGTCCAACGAAGAGAAAACATAAGTCTTAGGTATTTGTACTTTGGAAACTCCACTGCCCAATCAGTCTTTGATTGATTACCAAACATTGCAGTGGTGAAATCTAAAATTTGTTACTACCGGTTCTGTGGGCGTGGCTTGGTGGTTACCGGGTAATGTGACTGGGTGGGCATGGCCAATTTTTTTTCCTTTTAAAACCATTTTTTCAGCAAAGAGGTTGTAAAAAAATGCTTTCAAAAGGTTCTGACAATCCCAGCTGAGTTGCCTGATTGGCAGAGGCTTTTTTTCTTTTAAAAGCCTCTGCTGATCAGGCAACTCAGCTTGGATCGTCAGAGGCTTTTAAAAGAAAAAAAGCCTCTGCCGATCAGGTAACTCAGCTGGGATCATCAGCTGATGATCCCTTTGACGATCCCAGCTGAGCCGCATGATCATCAGAGGCTTTTTTTTTTTACTTTTAAAAGCATTTTTTTCAGCCGAAGAGGTTGTACTCTTAACTACTGTACTCAGTCACTTAACAACTGTAGAAAGAAAGATCATAAAATGGGACAAAAATCACTTAACAAAGGTCCCACTTAGCAACAGAAATTTTGGGCTCAGTTATGGTCGTAAATCAAGGACTACTTGTATATATGAATCTAAATGCACATGTATCCCTATGCATACAGAGATTCCGTATCTCATATTATGTATAGTTCGCATGTAAATTGTTTTCTGCTGCATTTCAAGCAGTTTTTAATGTTTTTAATGTTTTTAATTTTTCAATGTCTTTTGATAATGATTTTTTAAATGTATTGTGAGCCGCCCTGAGTCTTCGGAGAGGGGCAGCATATAAATTTAATTAATTAAATTAAATTAAATTAAATTAAATTAAAAACCTTTACAGGCAGGCTACAACAAATTTGAAAACAAAATTAAATGCATTTTTAAGAAAAAAACTCTCAAAAGCACCTCACAGCCTAGTATGATGCGTCTGAGTCCTTCGGGAGTAGGGCGGTATAGAAATTCGATAAATAAAATAAATAAATAAATATATCAAGGGTGGGCAACTGTGGCCCATTTACAACCTGCGGATTTCAGCCTGTCATAGTTGCCCACCCTATTCTATATGAAACTAATTTAAACAATTAGAAGCATTTAAAAACCATAATAATATATAGTTGGACAGATAGAAATCTGGGCACTGATGGAAAAAATATGGACCTGAGAAAAATAAACTTCCTGCACAATTCATCGTTGCCTCCTTGACAAGTACTTTCAAATGTCATTCTGACTTTATCATTGTCAAGTCAGGAAGTCAATTCAGAAACAACCCAAGGAGAAACGTGAAAGGAATTCTCAAGCATTTGGAAGAAAGGGCAGGAAAATAGAATGCAGTTTCTATTTTTGCACAGGGAAGAAAACCTTAAGAAAAGTGAAAGACTTTTGTGCAATTGTTAACAGCAGTTGTTTGGGAAACATGGCTGCTACAAGCCCCATTCACTTAAAGTTTCCATCAAAAGAAGAATCTAAAGTGGATGCTGAGGTCAGGCTATCAAAAGCTCTGCAGCTGTTTGGTGGCCCTCTTAGCACAAGACATGCTTGCCAGGGCTAATTGCTCATTAGAAAAGCTTTTTAATGAGAGCTGGAAGAATTGATGGGTGCTCCTTTTCTTTTCTTTTTTTCCTGGCTCCTTTCAGTTGGCAAGTTTTCTGCTTGCTTTGAGTGGAGGTCAAAAGAGGGCTGTTTTTGTGAACTTCCCAACTGTTTACTTTGAGAGCAAGCTTCCTAGTGCCGGTCAAAACCCTGACCTAGGGGTACTTGAACCGGACTCCCATAAAATGAGAAAGCTCAATGGGAAGGATGGATCAAGTCTCTTGGCTGAATAGTGGCCTTTTCAGGCCGTTGTGTGGGAGGTCCTAATCCAGAGTCTGCCAACTTTGACTTGTACATGCTGAAAATGAGCATCACACAAGGGAGATGCATAGACAGCATTCTATACAATTTTGGGAGGGGAATAGACAAATATATGGAGAAAAGATGCACCTTACAATTGATTTGATTCTGAGACTTTGGTTCTGTTTGAGAAAATCTGTTCTTGTTAATATTTCAGTGTGTTTCCAAGCTGTTACAGGACTGGCCAACCAGCCTTTGAAAACACACACTTATGCTGCCTAGAACTACTTATTATTCCCTCTGGACTCTTGCTTATGATTGGATCAGAATGAAAAAAATGCCTTAAAACTCTATATTATTTGTGCAGAACTAACTATGCAGATATCTTCTGAATTAATCTAACACTGAGATGTTTTTCCTGACAAATTACTTTTCTCTGCATATTCCAGACAGAAATATTGAATGTGAATATCTAAAAGGTTTTTACTTTTCCTTAAGATCGTGCCTATGTGCATATAAGAAATTGTATGTTTGTGCACAAATGTGTGTGTGTGTGTGTACATTTGTGTCTCCGCACACAACCCGTTCATATGCTGATAGGTTTCAGATTTCTTTTCCTTCTAATTTTGTTTCTTTGGCGTTGGTTTGTTTATCTTTCCAGTTGTGTACTTTTTAGTTTACATCTGTTTGTTTTGCAATGTTTATTATTCCATTTATTAAATTACGCCTTTGTTACTTCCATTTTGGTAGGCTTTGCAAGCTTATTTCATTCTGGTAAGAATAGCAGTGATGAAAATCTAACCATGTCACTCAGCCACACCACAGACATTCCCAGCCAGTAATGGCACCGAGTAAAATAATGAATTCAGATGAAGGGAGAGATGAGATATATGTATTAAAAAATTCCATTAACCAGCTGGTACAGTTTAGATAAGGCCTTTCTCCTCCGTTTCCTTCAGCCATTGGAAAAGCATTGACACCTGGCCTTGGTTCCCATTTGTAAATGTTACTATTATCCGTGGAGCTGATGTAAAAGCAAACCCCATAATGTCTGAGAAGCGTTATGCAAATCATGCTTGCAAAGAACGGACAGCTAATCATGACTTCATCAGTTTGTGTTAGCCTCTGCTGTCTTTCCGTTAAACCATCTACAACCACCCAGAAACACATGGTGCTGACTAATGCAGAAATGAACAACATTTGAAGTTACCATTAACATGTGGAAAGGCGGGGAAGGGTAGCAACTGGAGCCATTATGCAAAAGTCAGGGGGGCATGTCATACATATAATAATAATTACAAAATACAAATACTTGCAAATAGAAATAGAACAACTATGGCAAAAGAAAGCAAAGGGAATAGTAATGGTAATTAGGCACCTTAGATACACTCCCAAAACAACTTGAACACCATTGGCATTGACAATTCACTATCAGTCAATTGCAAAAGGCAGCTTTACTTGGAACAGCTTACATCCTGCAACAATATCTCTACCATCAAACATCAACCTCTGCCTATCCCAGGTCCTTGGGAAGCACTTGATAAGTGGATAAAAATACCAAATCCCATCTGAACATCTGGCTGACTATGTGACAAAGCAATAATAATTACATACCGGGCTTCCCTTTTTTTCTGAGAGAAGGATACAATTTATGCTATTCCTAAACTGTGAGCACAACCTGTTTTGGAGTTTGATTGGAAGCTGCATGGCTGATTTGGGGAAATTGTGCTTAAAAGGTTCTGCAGTCTACAAAAAAGAGGATTTGGGGTTCTGTGTGAATGTTTAGCTAGTTTATCTATTTTGGAACTAATGAATCCCTTAGTGACAACCAGACCCCACTCCTGCCTCTTTAAGCCCTGTATGTATGGACACCAGAAACTACATAACACCTTTCTCTCTTTCTCCAGGATTTTGAGCAATAACAAAATAACAACCCTGAAGAACGGCACTTTTTTTGAACTCCATGCTCTTGAAAAGTTGTAAGTACTAATTTTTGCTTTTTTTAAAAAAAAAAAAACTTCTAGGCTATTGGTCATGATCTCAGGAATTAGTGGTTAAACTGTAGTGAAAGTGAACTTGGAGTGGTTGTGAACACATGTATTCATACACCTGTGCCTATGTATCTATGTGTGGAAGTCCCGTATGACCATAGGAATTGGAAGATATTCAAATATTCATTATCTATGATGATTGTAGAACTTGTTTACTGGTGGATCTGCTGGTCTTTATTTGTGTTTATTGTGCCTTGTTGACCACTGCATGTAGGTTGCATGGTGTCTTTCTATTTTGGCCACAGTTAAACACATTAGAATCAGAAGGGTTTTCTGCCTCTTGCTTTATTGAATCTTTTAGAAAAAGTAATTGTAGCATACAAGAATTATATACAGGTAGCCCAGAATAATAGTATTGAATCACAGGCATGTTTAATCAGTAAAAATAATTATAAGCTTCATTAGAAGAAATATAGTTTTAGATATATTTCTAGTCATTGTTCCATTATATTCTGCATTGGTCCGATGTTATTTTGAGTATTTTGGACACAGCATTTTAAGAAAGATGGAGCAGATATAAGTACAGAGAAAAAGAATGAAGATGATCAGAAGATGGATAATTTAACCCCAGCAGATAGAGATTTCAAGCATCTTTGGTATTTATGGATCTACCAGCAGATCTTAAATAAGACTCTCCTACTTTTCACAGCTGTCCCAAGTTAAATCCCTTATCTAAATTACTTCTCCTGGAAGCTATTCTCAGCTTTAGTGAATCATCCATTTATTCAAAGGATTTAGCTGCACCTCTAATGTTACCGGAGAGATTTGCCACAGCGGACTCTAGGAAATTTGGGAAACCCCCCCCCAGGTCAGATTCCATTTTTAAAGAAAAAACATAAAAAGAGCTTGGACCTCTATTGTTTGAAACTAAATTCCTGAAGGAAAGGCAGATATAAGTTATTTTTTAAAGGGGGCCTTTCCCTATTCATTTTCTAAGGTTTATATAATGGTTATTTTGAAAATGGGAAAGGACCTTACAAGTTGTGTGAAATATTCCTTAATATTCACGTTAAATATAGATGCAAAGCAGGGGTGGGTTCTAAAAATTTTTACTACCGGTTCTTTGGGCATGGCTTATTTTGTGGGCGTGGTTTGATGGTCATGTGACAATTCTTTAGGATTTAGCAGAGGTACTGGTCTACCAGGCTTTTAACTGCTTGCAGAGCTGTACCCGTCTACCCATTTGTTCTTGGAGTGTTCCGGTCTACCCATTTGTTTTTGGAGGCACCGCTCTACCCATTTGTTTTTCGAGCGCTCTGGTCTACCACCACACTGCCTTTTAACACTGATCAGCTGTAGGGCGGCCCTTTGAAGCCCCGCGGCAAGAGTTTAAACAGTTTTTTTCCTTCTAGCCGATCAGCTGGGACTCAGGAGGCAGCAAATAGATTGGGGGCGGGGCCAAATAAAAGGTAAGAATACCGTGGAGGAGGGCTGGAGGGCCCGCAAAGAGAACCTGTTCGGTGACATCATATCGTCACCACTACTGGCTCAGCCAAACTGGGCCGAACCGGGAGGAACCCACCACTGGTGCAAAGATTCTGACTGCAATTTTGACCTAAACATTGAAGAAGTCTGCTGTCTATAATGTATATACTGTAGTTTACACACACTCATATAACAGTACATGCACACACAGACACACACACTTTAATTTATTTGGGCTGGAGTCAGGGCAACTAAATGGAGCTGAGTGTTTACTGGTCAGATGCCCTTCCTCACACTTATGCAGTGTTCACAACAGATATTTTCTCCTTGTACCCTGATAGAAAAACATGGGAGCCCCTCGTTACTCCCATATAACACCCCTCCTGCGTGAGCTGCACTGGTTACCAGTGGTTCTCCGGGTCCGCTTCAAGGTGTTAGTCCTCACCTATAAGGCCCTTCATGACTTAGGTCCAGGATATTTGCATGACCTTCTCCTGCCTGCCTCTCACCATCCTGTTCGCTCACATAGGGCCGCTCTCCTCAGGGTTCTGACGGCGAGCCAATGTCACCTTGCTGTGCTCAAGGGTAGGGCGTTCTCTGTGGGTGCTCCCACCCTCTGGAATGAATTACCTACCGAGCTCCAGACGGCTCCTGATCTCCGCTCCTTCCGTCAGGACTTGAAGACTTGGCTTTTCAAACAAATAGGCTGAGACTGATTCTGGGCTTTATTATTTACTACTAATTAATTATTTGGATTAAATTTTATTGTACTTGTTTCTTAACTTGTGTTCGCTGCCCTGAGTCCTTCGGGAGAATGGCGGCATATAAATACATGTAATAAATGAATAAATACATGTAATAAATAAATAAATAAATAAATAAATTTGCTGTTGCCTTAGATTGAACTCTCAACTTTCCAAGTAGGATGCAAGCTTCTTCACATCTAGGCCACTGTGCTACTCAATTTTTAAATATATACATCAGGGGTGAAATCTAAAATTTGTTACTACCAGTTCTGTGGGTATGGCTTGGTGGGAGGGTAATGTGACTGGGTGGACGTGGCCAACTTTTTATTCATTTTATTTTATTTATTTATTTCCAAAAATTTATATGCCGCCCTTCTCCCTAAAGACTCAGGGCAGCGAACACTGGTTAAAACATACAATAATAATAATAATAATTTTTTTTTTTACTTTTAAAAGCATTTTTTCTACTACCTCTTTGGCCGAAGAGGTTGTAGAAAAAATGCTTTTAAAAGCTTCTTACGATCCCAGCTGAGCCGCACGATCATCAGAGGCTTTTTTTTTACTGATAAAAGCATTTTCCCCCTGGGGGTGGGGGTGTGTGCAGGGATTTTTGCTACCAGTTCTCCAAACCACCCGCCACCATCGCTACCTGATCCGGGGATCCAGTCCGAACCGGGAGCATTTCACCCCTGATATACATGCAATTTTTGATGGCCCACAATATCAATTAGAATCATCAAATGCTGTTCATTCTACTTGCTCAGCTCAGAAAAAGGCTATCTCCTGCAATTTTACTGTTACAGTTGCAGTTGAAGCTTACTGCCGCTCTCCTTCTCCTACAGCAGTTCTCTTTAGGGTCCTCCCTCCCCCTCAAAAAAGGAGAAGAGAAGGAAGTTCAGTTCCTGATTATATCAACTTCTGTTTTGCTCTTGAGAGGCCCAGAAACATTCCAAATGAACTGGACCAATAGTTTTAAGAGGAAGAGGTCATGAAAAACAACTTTCTCAGACCAACGAAGTCAACTTTCTTATCTGAACTTGAAAGGCAATGGTTCAGGTCTGTCATAGAAAGAGATTTATACCTCCTTGTCCTTGTCCTCCAAATGTGAGTTTAATCTTTATGTAGGTATGTTTGGGATGGGTGAGAAAGGAGAACTCATACCGAAGGGTTTTTGTTCAGAGATGCTTGGTTTAGGCTGAGTTTCCCCACTGGAAAATATATGACTGTGGCTTATTATAGTGTTTAATGAGGCTTGAAAGTGCAGCTTTTTCTGGGTTTAGGGTTAGATGTGCTGAAGGAATATTCACTGATATTGGAAAAGGGATGCTTGAAAAATCAGATCAGGCACAGACTGACTAGATCTGACTCTGACTGGAGAAATGAATCGTTTGGAGCATGATTATTCTTTTTGGATTTTCACTTCTCTGCACATATATGATCTTTATTTCTTGACTAGAAGTCAAGGTTTAAAACATGCAACTTTATATTTAAAATATTGAATAATACACACTTTGTGGTAATATGTATTTGCCTATTTAAGGTGATAGCTGAACTCTGAAGAAAGCTTTTATTTTAATGTTTTGACTGAATTGCAGCTTAATGTGGACATAAGAAATAAATGAAATCCTAGAAATGAACATATGCAAAAGTGACATGACTAGGAAAGAGGCCAATGAAAGATATATAGGAAAATCAAAAATAAATATAATGAATGCTACTCAACAAACTTACTTTGCTCTATGTGTGTGTATATATTTTATGATTCTGAATGGGTGCAAGCCAACAGCAACAAACTTTACAGGAGTCTTACCCCTTCCTATAATATCTTTCCATAAAATTGATGACATGAACATCAAGGTTAGTTAGCTCAGTTTCCCAACAGCATACTTGTTAGGGCATTTCCTTATGAATAACAAGCAAGCTATTTTCATAGCTAAGAATTTTGCTCCCATGTATGAACTAAAGCAGGAACAGTCCCTCTGCACTGAATTATATGTCACCATAATTGCAATTTTAGTCAGGTTTGCTTGCTTTTGGGAACTTTGCATGGATGTGCATATGACTGCAAATGGAGAGGATGGCTTCCATAAGCAGATCATAGTTCTCTGATTTAAAAAAGGAGTAGGGACATACAGACATTTCTACATCTAATAGTAGGGTCAGGTGAATAAGTGTCAGTAAGAGTTGAAGTCCAAACTCGGGGCATTGAGAAACAAGAAGAAAGGATGAACTTGCCCAGAGGAGAGGCAGGATAAGTACAAAACAAAATGATTGTCTGTCTGTCTGTCTCTCTCTCTCTTTCACTCACTCACTCACTCTCTCTCTCTCACACACACACACATTCAAGATTCAGTATGTTTATAACATGAACAAAAAGACAAGGGAAAAAATCCAGATGGAAAGAAGAAACTGCTTGATACAATTGCAGTGAAGTTCCTAGTTTGCAGTCTACATGGGATACTCCTAAGGACAGGGACCTCTTTTCTCTGCTAAAACTATGAAACATTAATGTTTATTTAATGTTCCTTCCATCTCTTTCTCCTCCTTTTTTTCTTCTTCTTCATAGTTCAAGGTTATCTGCATCTCTTGAGACTGGAACAAAGTGCTCATTAATGGCAAGGGATTACAGTTTGCCCAACAGGGAAGCTGCTCCAGAGGAGGGTAGTTGTTAGAGTTTCTGACTTTTCCTGGGCTTCCAAGGGAAAGTCTTAGCAATTTGAAACTCTCTATCAACTTCCCTGACGTTGCTTATGGAAG